TGGTTCCATGCCGCTTAGTGGAGGGCAGACGGGCACCTCCCCACCCCGTGTGCCCCCACCTCCCAAACCCAACTGCAAGACCAGAAGAGCTGCAGACCCTCCTCCCTTCAACTCCGGCATGGCACACTGTCTAGACGGCCACAGGATATTCATAGGCCACAGGGAAAAGAAAACGAGACACTCACAGGCTGCTTCCTCTGGGGTCCCAGGAGCTCCAGACAAACTGGTCCTGGCTTGGCAGGTGCGCACTCTTTATGCCTGTCCTGTAAGCTGAGCTGCCAGGCCCTGGTCTTCTGAGAACTCCCTTCAAGAAGTGGAGGCAGTTTTCTTCCTTGTTGACTCACTCCCTGTTACCCCCAACTGTGTGCTAAAACCCTGATGCTGATAAACGGAACACTTCCCACATCATCACGTTAGGGTGACTCCCATCTGCACCCCACTGAGGCCCTGGGAGCCCAAAACAACCCCCTCAGTGTCCGAATTTTAGAGATGTCCATGAATCTGAGGTCCAGTCATTACTGAGTTGCACAACGACCTAGAGTGACTTCAAAAAGAAACTCACATCTGCAGATCTCAAGAGCCAGGGCCTGCCGTGTGCAATTTCCTTCTCCATCTCAACAGCCCGGATTGTGAAAGAGCTGCTTGGCATATCCGGGCAGGGGTGAGGCAGGTGCAGGAGCTGCAGAAGCAGCAGCCTTGGGCGGGAGTGGGAGGGAGTGACTTGTGGAGCTGCCACCTGTCCCTATTGGCAACCTGCTCCAGGCCTCAGAGAGCCCCCGTTTTCCTCTTGTGAGAGTGACTTGACAAGCAGGCCTTGACCTTGCCTTTGTTCAGACTTGTATTTTCCACTTCTTCCCCTGGTGTCTGCCTTGTGCGTTGAGATAAATTAGGACCCCTGAGCTGTGAACACTCTTGTCACAGACCCGCGCGAGGGAGCTATTAACTTAGAGCCTGGGGGGTAGTGGTCCACCCTCTGCCACTGCTGTCATCTTTGCTCCTGTCTCGAGTCTTGTGACTTGATCTTTTGCATCAGTTTTGCCTATTTTTGCATGCATCCAGACCTATTTCTCCAATATCCTCCCTTGGCCACCCACTGGTACTGCTCACTTGCTCCTGGCTTTGGATACTCCTGGTGGCATCTCCTTGCATAATGTTAAATGTACAATGTCACATTTCCCAGACTGGTGAAGAAAGGTTGTTTTAAAAAATATTTATTTTTCTGTATTTGAAAGGCAGATTTACAACAGAGGCAGAGACAGAGGAAGAAGTCTTCCATCCACTGGCTCACTACCCAAATGGCAGCAATGACCGGTGCTGGGCCAGGCTGAAGCCAAGAGCCAGGAGCTTCTTCCGGGTCTCCCACAAGGATCCCGTGGCCCTCCTCTGCTGTTTTCCCAGGCATATTAGCAGGGAGCAGGATCAGAAGTGGAGCAGCTGGGACTCGAACCCAGGGTCCACTCCGGTACCCTGTCAGGTGGGAAGGTCCTGGGGATGGGTGGCCGTGGCCAAGTCTTCTCAGGAACCACTTTCCACTAGAGGACCAGGAGCTGAGCTCCAGGGTTGCCCCACAGGTGTCCATGGCCGATGCTTTGATAGGGCTCAGTGTGACTTTGGGACATTGTAGGAAGGGCATGCAAAGAGGAAGATGTGCCCCCCACCCCCACCCAGACTCTCCTGTGGGTCTGGATCACACAGTCTGTGTTGAGGAAACCATCAGCATGTCTGTGGCTGCTGTGAATCCCCTGTGGTGGTGATTGGACAACCAGGCTCACCAAGCTAAGGGGGACCTCGGTGGAGATGGAGCACTTAAAAATACCTCCTCTAGGAGTTGATTTTGACCACATCTCACCTGAGTCAATGACTAATGCATTTCTAAGGTACACTATGTCCACCTGAAAATTCTGCAGTACAACCACCAGGCAGCAGAGGTCGCAGAGGAACATGCAAAGACCTTAAAGGGGAGGCACAGAGCTGACCAGAAACTGCCCAAATCCCCCAGCAGGCACAACACCACAGCTGCCCTGACACCTGTCACCCTGCTGTTCCTGATTCTGGCTCCCTGCTGGAAGTATTGCACCGTGCTGCACTGCACAGTGGGCCCCTTGGAGCCTCCACACACCAGACAGAGTGAAGGTCTGTAATAGCCAGACACAAAGTCCCAGTTCCCACCAGAAACAATGCTTGGGCTTTTCTCTGCACAGTTTCAGATGCAAGGTACTAGGGCCAGAGACTCAGTGCCTGCTGCCTCAGGTTGTCACTGGGTGGTGCCTGACAACTCAAGTGACCAGGACAGGACCTGACACACTTGCACACTTCTGGTCACCATTGCTGCTTTGAAAGAAGTCATGGGAAATGATTGGTTGGCTTTCCATGGTTCTGGACGTAGGGAGCAACTGTTTTTTGAGAAGGCCCCAAACTACAGGACTCTAATGGCCGCATGCCCACCCCTCCAGCTTGGAGTGGACATTTCTCATCAAGTCCTAGAGCAGCTTCCCTGCCCCTCCATATATCAGACAATAGGGGTCTATTTGCCTGGGGAGTCAACAAATGATCGGTCTCCCACGGCAGTTCAAAGGAGAGCTTTATTGTGCCAAAGAGACTGGGAAAGTACAGCTCCCTAAAACTACTGCCTCTGTGAGAAGCCATTTTTGAGGGATTGTAGAGTGAGGGAGTGGCTGGGATAGAGGAAAAAGAGAAGCAAGAGGGCCCTACCTGCTCAAGCAACCCACAGCAGCACGCATCGTGTGTTCAAAACCCAACTCCTGCTGGGCTCTTGCAGCTCTCCTTGCTGTGAGGCCCAATCCCTGGGGGTACAGCATTGCAGGATCACTCTTCTTGGAATATTCTTGGGAAAACAAGAAAGAGAATAAATTGTTAGATGCTGTGCCCCTGCCCCTGCCCATGCCTGTTGCCTAAATCCTACTCTCCGAGTTACAGATTTTTTTTAAAGATGTATTTATTTGAAAGGCAGAATGACAGACAGACAGGCAGACAGAAGTCTTCCATCCACTGCTTCACTCCCCCAAAAGGCCGCAACGGCTGGAGCTGTACCAGGATGAGGTGCTTCTTCCGGGTCTCACACATAGGTGTAGGGGCCCAAGGACTTGGACCATCTTCCACCACACTCCCAGGTGCATTAGCTGGGAGCTAGATCAGAAGTGGAACAGCCGAGACTTGAACTGGCAACCATATGGGGTAGTAGCTTTACCCGCTACACCACAGCACCGGACTCTGGAGACATGTCGCCTTTTTTTCCATATTTATTTATTTATTTGAAAGTCAGAGTTTCACAGAGAGGAAAGTCAGAGAGAGAGAGAGAGAGGACTTCCATCTGGTGGTTCACTCCTCAGTTGGCTGCAACGGCCGGAACTGTGCTGATCCAAAGCTGGGAGGCAGGAGTTTCTTCTGGGTCTCCCATATAGGTGCAGGGGCCCAAGGACAAGGGCCATCTTCTGCTTTCCCAGGCCGTAGCAGAGAGCTGGATCGGAAGTGGAGCAGCTGGGTTTTAAACCGGTGCCCACAAAGATGCCGGCGCTCAGGCCAGAGTGTTAACCCGTTTCGCCACAGTGCCGGCCCGGGGAGAGCTGTTTTTTCACATTTCCCTCCCTGCCTGGAGGCAGCAACATACACTGTTCAAGACGAGGGACTGCACCTATGGTGAAATTTAAAGGACTCCATGCAACCTGGGTCTTTCTCCAAACTTTTCTTCCAAGGGACAAATAGCTGGCAATTAAACACCAAGATTAGAAGATGCGAGTCTAAAACTTGAAAATAACACATTTTCCATACACAAATACTCTAGGAATGAAAGCCCTAATGGTACTTCAGATGATTTATAGCAGTAAATTTAAAACCCTAGATGAAATGGACTTAGTATTAGCAAACATAATCACAAATTTTACTCAAGGAGAAATGATAGTTTTCTAATCACCTATAATGAGATCAGGAGGCAAAATCTCCCTATAATGAATCTATCAGAGCCGGCATTGTAAAATCCAAACATTTAATGAAGGACTAAGTGCAGTGTTGTACAAAATTATAGAAAATAGTAAGAAAGGTAGCATAACTAACTCCTATAATCCTAGTTTAACATGACACAACCCCCTACAATAACTACCAGTACAAAATGTCCTTCAAGAATATAAATGCCAACATGTTAGAAAATATGTTCACAACCCTAACCAGCCACGCACACAAAGGATGTACACTATGAGCTAGTTCCTTTCTTTCAAGAACCTTCGACTCCCAGGTACACAATTGTAGTATCACAGGCATCTGCTGACTCAAAAGCCCAACGCCATTTCCTGCAGCCACGTTTCTAGTCCCAGAAGTTGGCACCGGTGTGTTCCTCTTTCAAAATGTCCTGGATTTCAGAACTGGGCATCTCGGGCACCTTCTTGCTGCGTATCTTGCTCGTGAGGTTCTGTTGGAGAACTGAGTACCCGCAGAGCTGTGCTCAACACCTGCAAGAACGTGAGCTCTCCATCACCTTGACGATCTCCAGGCTGCTGCTGGGACAGAGGAAAAGGCACCCTGTTCTCTGCGCTGTTGTGATTCTGCTGCATTGGAAACTGGTCCTGGGAGGGCGGCTCCTGCCAGTAATGCGGAGGCTGCTGGGGCTGCTGAGGGTGCGTTCCCCAGCCATTCTGCTGCCACTCTTCACATGGTGGGTAACGAAGAGAGCTCTTCTGCTCCTGCAGCTGTTGCATCGCTCCCTGAGCACTGGGAACACCGGGTAGCAGGGAAGGCAAGTCAGGCTGCATGACCCTCATCTCTGACCTGGACCTCCCAAAATACGGTGCAGATGAAAAAGGGTGAATAAACCTTGCTCCTGGAATGCCACGGGGAAAAGATCCACCTCCTACGTTCCCTTGATTCTCCAGAGCATAGCTCGGTGCCTCTTGAGCACCTCGAACCCCAGAATCCCAGGAGCCTTAGCACAGGCTGGGAACCTCCCATGTGGGTGGAGTGGAGTAGACAGCTCCGCCCAGCACAGCCACCTGGGCAGCGTTGGGAGACCGCTCCTGGGCATGTGGAGCAGTATAGACAGCTCCAACCAGCACAGCTGCCTGGGTAGTGTTGGGAGACCGCTCCTGGGAATTCTGCAGGCTTACACCTGGGGGACCTTGGACAGGGAGTGCATATGGCATCCTGGCTTCAAGCACTTTGCGTCTCTTCTTGGCTGGTAGTCTGGCTCTTTTATTTTGGAACCAGTTCTAAAAAGAAACGAAACAGAAATTACTTTCGAGTCTATATATTCCCCAATGTAGGAGAATTTTGTAGTTCATCTTAGGATCAGCGTCATCACTGATTTGCTTCGTGACCTTGAGTAAGACATGAAAAATGCAAGCATGCTTTCCTGGGGCTTCCTGTGTTATTATATTTATAATGAGAATGCATTTACAGTAAATATATGTAAATGTATATATAAATATACATTTATGATAATTAAAATCACGTAATCGTGCACAATTCCGGATTCCCATCTGCCTTCACAGGAGGCACGGGCCCTTATGTATGAGCAAATCCCTACTTTTCCAAATCTTCTACCAACCTATTTGCACCCTCTGCATTTAGACGTGAAGCAGCTGTCCTCAAAATACATTCCCTTAGCTTGCTTATTTTACTCCAACTGCTTTTCCAGAATGAATTCCTAATTCAACATATTCTAAATCATATTCTAAATGTCATTTTCTTCAAAGGCCATACCCAAAACAAACAAGCGTCTGCCATAACTTAGCAGTATTACTTCATACCTTACTCTAAGTGTTTTGTGGAACCTCTACTCTTTACTTTTTCTCCTTTGTAAAATGAGAGTAATTGGGGTCAGCGCTGTGGTGTAGTAGGTAAAGCTGCCACCTGCAGAACTGGCATTCCATATGGGCACCAGTTCAAGTCCTGGCTGCTCCATTCCAATCCAGCTCTCTGCTATGGCCTGGGAAAGCAGTGGAAGATGGCCCAAGTGCTTGGGCCCCTGTACCCACATGAGAGACCCAGAAGAAGCTCCTGGATCCTGGCTTTGGATCAACATAGCTCCCGCTGTTGAGGCCAGGGGGGGAGTGAACCAGCAGATGGGAGACCTTGCTCTCTCTCTCTGCCTCTCCTTCTCTCTCTCTGCCTCTCCTTCTCTCTCTCTGTGTAAATCTGACTTTCAAATAAATAAATCTTTTTCAAAAATAACACATACTATACTTTAATATAGTCACATCCACAATGACATGAAGAAGAAATGGGACCAAATTTCAACGCTGTTTTATGTGATGAAATGCTGTTATACTTTTTCATAATTAGTTGATTTTTTATTATTGTCCACAAAGACATATTCATGTAAATATCTACGTGGTTTATGTACCTCGATTGTGTAAAACGAACAATGGAGTTTTTTGGCCAGTTCCTCCTTGGTCGTATAGTCGGGATAAGGGCTCTCTGCAAATGATTGATTCAGTATGTGCAGTTCCTCAGGTGTAAATTGATGGCGTGCTTTTCCTTTTCTTCTTCCATGTTGTGTTTCTATGTTGTCATGACGGTCTCCTGAAAAATACAGAGAGAGAAAACACAAGAATATTAGCAAGATCCAGAAAAACAAAAGACCTCTGTGAGAGAATAAAATTTTAGAAAGGTGATACCTTCCCTCTTACCTAGTCATAATAAAATGAATAATGGACTGTGGGCATATCTTTTGAAACTTATGGTGAGAAGATGATAGTATTTAGGTCATAAAGGTAACAGGAGTGAAGAAGGTTTTCTTTAGTGAAAATTGATATACTACAAAGACAGAGATGGTGGGAAAACACTCAGCCACACTAGTAATTGAGGCAATGTAAATAAACCAGCTGACGACAATCTGGTAAACAATAATTTAAATATATGGGAGCAAAGTGCGAAACGACTAACACGGATTGACAAGGATAGGTCTGGTACCCCTATTGCTTGTTATCACTGTGTGGGCTTTTTTGCTCAATGCAATGAAGTCGAAAGTGGCCATACTCTCCACTGTGTCAATCAACTAAATGGCACTTAAAGATTTAACACCAAGTCTACAGGTCATTTTTCCTTCACCCATGTCAGACATGCCAGCGGGAGGAAAGCACCGAGGGTCTAAACCTGTCCTCTGGTGTGTGCTCATCTCCCGGATGCTGGAAGGGGAGCAGACCTTACAGACAAACCAACGTTGGCACAGTTCTCTACTGCAGAGGCCACCAGAAGAACTGACACGAGGCAATCCTGTTTTTCTTAAATCAGAATTTAAGTGAAAAAACTTACAAGGACTGCAAACCGAATTAACAACCTTCATATGTCTGCTTCAAAGGGTATAACCTAGCTGCCAGAGGTTGGGCTGCAGTATGTTAAGTTACCCCTGAGGACATCAGCATCCCATATGAGCAATGATTTGAGTCCATCTGCTCTACCAGTCCAGCCCCCCGCTGAAGCCCCTGGGAAAGCAGTGGAAAACTGCCAAGTGGTTGGGCCCCCACCACCCATGTGGGAGACCCAGATAGAGTTCCATGCTCCTGGCTTCTGCCTGGCCCAGCCCTGGCCATTGCAGCCATTTGGGGAGTGAACCAGAGGATGGCAGATCTCTGTGTGTCTCTCTCTCTGTCACTCTGTCTTTTAAATAAATCTTTTTAAAAAGGTCAATCTGAACATACTATAGACTACCTAAGGCAAAACCGGAGACACTTCATCACAGAAACTGTGACATTCAAAATAAAGTGTGGACTTCGCTAATGAGCAGGTGTGGAGAGAGACAGAGAGGGAGAGAGGGAAAGAGGGGGCAGGGAAGAGAAGGAGAGATAAGGAGATGGGGAGAGAGGGAGAGAGAAAGAGGGAGGGGGGAGAGGGAGAGAGGGAGAGAGAAGGGGGGAGAGCGAGAGCAGAGCTGAGGAAAGGGTCAGGAAGTCAGCCACCAAACCTCCAAATACACAAACCCCGAAAGCCCGTTGCTGTTCTCCTTGACTCCCCTTCCTTCAGCTTTCTCTAGCCTCTGCTCCCAGAGCACACCTGCACACCAAGTAGCTACTAGAGCAGGACTGTGGGGGACAGCGCGACAGAGAGGTGCCAGTAAGAAGTGCTGGATTGGGCTGGCACTGTGGAGTAGCAGGTAAAGCTGCTGCCTGCAGTGCTGGCATCCCATATGGACACTCGTTCTGATCCAGCTCTCTGCCACAGCCTGGGAAAGCAGATGATGGCCCAAGTCCTTGGGCCCCTGCACCCACATGGGAGATCTGGAAGGAGCTCCTGGCTTCAGGTTGGCACAGCTCTGGTCATTGCAGACAACTGGGGAGTGAACCAGCAGATGGAAGGACCCTCTCCCTATTCTCTTTCTCTCCCTCTCTGTTTGTCTGCCTCTCTGTAATTCTGCCTTTCAAATAAATAAAATAAACCTTCAAATACAATTTTAAGAAGTATCTTAAGCATTTGGCAGTGAAATGGAGCTATGTGGGTTTTTTTAAAAAACACTTATTTACTTGAAAGTCAGAGTTACACAGAGAGAGGAGAAGCAGAGAGAGACAGAGGTCTTCCATCTGATGGTTCACTCCCCAATTGGCTGCAATGCCTGAGCTGTGCTGATCCCAAGCCAGGAGCCTGGAGCTTCTTCCAGGTCTCCCATGTGGGTGCAGGGGCCCAAGGACTTGGGCCATCTTCCACTGCTTTCCCAGGCCATAGCAGAGAGCTGGATTGGACGTGGAGCAGCCAGTTCTCAAAATGGCACCCATATGGGATACCGATGCTTCAGGATAGAACATTAACCCTCTGTGCCACAGCGCCAGCCCCCACAAAAATTTTTTAAAAGTATTATAGGGCCAGGGCCCAAGGCTCACTTGGCTAATCCTCCACCTGCAGAGCCGGCACCCCAGGTTCTAGTCCCGGTTGGGGCACCGGATTCTGTCCCCATTGCCCATCTTCCAGTCCAGCTCTCTGCTGTGGCCCAGGAAGGCAGTGAGGATGTCCCAAGTGCTTGGGCCCTGCACCCACATGGGAGACCAGGAGGAAGCACCTGGCTCCTGGCTTCGGATTGGCACAGCGCGATGGCCGCAGCGCCCATTTTGGGGGTGAACCAAAGGAAAAGGAAGAACTTTCTCTCTGTTTCTCTCTCACTAACTCAGCCTGTACAGGAAAAAAAAAAATTATACATTCAGGGCTGGTGTTGTTTCATGGCAAGTTAAGCCTCTGCCTCCAGTGCCAGCATGCCATATGGGTGCCAGCTCAAGTCCCAGTTGCTCCACTTCCCATCCAGCTCCCCGCTTAGCCCTGGGAAAGCAGAAGAGGATGACCCAAGTGCTTGGGCCCCTGCACCATGTGGAGGCCGGAAGAAGCTCCTGGCTTCAGCCTGGCCCAACCCTGGCCAGTTTGCTGCCATTTGGGGAGTGAACCAGTAGATGGAAGATCCCTCTCTCTATCTCTCTGTAACTGTGCCTTCCAAATAAATATAAATAAATGTTTTTAAACATATTAATTATATGAATAATTGGTGTAAAGCATTTTGTATAAACCCAAATTCAAACAGAGAACACACTGTTGGTTGGAACTCTTTCCTTCAGAACAGGCAAAGAGGGGATAAGAGCGCTTTCTGCTCCCAGCAAAACCTCCCTGGGGAGCATCTATCGCTGAGGTGCTCCAGGGTATCTGGTCCCTACCCCCAGCCCGGCCACTCACTAGAACTCCACAGGAAAAGTTCCCAGTATTTCTGACCAGCAATTTGTATACCTTAACACACATTTTAAAAACACACTGGTTGTTTTGTTTGAAATCAAATTTGTTTGTTTAAATAAAATCTCAGCAGTAAAACTGGCAGCTGAGCCCACAATCTTCACCTGGGAGGCCCCTCCCTCCCCTGTGGTCCAGAGCAGCTTCTGGAAGGGCTTCACACCCTAAGGGCACCATTGTTCTGGGGCCTTGGATTTTGCCTCAGGACAGAGTGAGGAGCTGAGAGGGCTCCCCCTCCACCATGGGCACTTTCCAAGGGATTTTCTGAAGACCTCCTAGAGCTGGGAGGCCTCTGCGAGTTGACTGAGATGTCACACTCACAAGCTGCCAGACAGACTGGCGCTGACCCAGGACTTCTCTCACCCAGTGCTTGTTTAGAGAAAGAAGTCAGGGCCAGAACCCAAGACTTCAGAACTCCAGCTTTTATTTTATTTTATTTTATTTTATTTTATTTTATTTTATTTTATTTTTTGACAAGCAGAGTTACTCAGTGAGAGAGAGACAGAGAGAAAGGTCTTCCGTCCATTGGTTCATTCCCCAAATGGCCACAACGGCCGGTGCTGCCTGAAGAATCTAACTTGGCTCCAATAGAAGTCCTCAGAGAAACGAATATCATGAAACACCTATTCTTGGTTTCAAAGTTTGTTTGCACCAAAACATTTCTGAATTCCACTATTCCACCGACACTGTGAAGTTCCCTGCTCCAGCATTACATGACCAAGTGCTGTTTCCTCCCCCTACCCTTCCGATCTTTCCCCACACCTCCCACCCCTTCATTCTGAAGGGAACCCAAGACACTGTTCTACCTAAACTACTTCCAGGTACATCTTTAAAATGCAGAAAACTTTTTAAGGCAACCCCAAGTTGGGTTAATTTTTAAACACCTGAGCCTTTGGGAAATCCTAGCCCCTGCATTCAGCCAGGCGGTAGCCAGAGACAATGACACCTGTGACACTAGTGGCCCCTGGACCACGAGCCTGCACTTCTGAAAGACGAAAGCTCAAAGCCCCACAGAACACCAGGACAGCGAGAACCCGGCCTTGCCGAAAGCCGCACATGGAAACTCACCACTTGGAAGCCATGTCTGGGAGCCCTCCTGAGACCGTCTTCTTGGGCAGTGAAGTGAGGGCTGCTGGTACAGCGTTCATTTAATATAAACCTGGGATGGCCACCCTAGGCACGCCTTAGACCCAGCCCTTCTCCAGCCCCTGCCACACCCTACACACAGCTCCCCCTAGGCACAACAGGATTTCCAAAATCTCCATTTGTATCTCCAGTCACTGAACACCCATGGGAACTAATTTTCTCATTTAGCCCTGGCCAAATGATAACTGATAACTGAGAGTTTGGAGGCTGCTGAGGCCAGAGACTCACAGCGAATGAGGACGTTAAAGAATATAAGACTGCAGGCATTGTGGCAAAGCTTGTTAAGCTGCCACGTAGGATGCCCCCAGCCCATAGCAGAGTGTGGGTTCCAGTCCCAGTTACTCTGCTCCCAATCCGGCTTCACACCAAAGTAGCCGGGGAAGCAGCAGGTGATGGCTCAGGTGCATGGGCCCTATAGCCTACACTGGGAGACCTGGATGCATTTCTAGGTTCCTGGCTTCAGCCTGACCCAGCTTTGGCTGTTGTAGACATTTGGGGAGTGAACCAGCAAACAGAAGGTTTCTCTCTCTCTTGCTCTCTCTCACTCAGCCTCTCAGGTACACAAAAATAAATGGTTTTCAGAAGTCAGCATAAGGGGCCAGCATTAAGGTATAGTGGGTATGGCAGCATCCCACACGGGTGCTGGCTCATGTCCTGGCTGCTGCACTTCCCATGCAGCTCCCTGCTAATGGCTTGGGAAAGCAGTGGAAGATGGCCCAAGGGCTTGGGACCCTGCCACCCACATGGGAGACTCAGAAGAAGCTCCAGGTTCCTGGCTTTGGCCTGGCCCAGCCTTTTTTTTGCCTGTTGCAGCCACCTGGGAAGAAGATTCTTCTCTCTCTCGCTCTCTCTGTAACTCTTTCAAATAAAAACAAATCTTAAAAAAAAAAAGTCAATATAAGTCTAACATCATACAGTAATTAAATCATTGAAATAATTCATTCAAAACAGCCAAAACCTCCATAGAATAGTTTGAGAACTGGACATCTGAAAGGAGACTAGGGCTGAGAGAAAACAAACTAAAATTAAGTTGGGGAGCCGATGCTGTGGCATAGTGGGGAGAGCTGCCGCCTGCCGTGCCGGCATCCCATATGGACACTGGTTCATGTCCAGGCTGCTCCACTTCCGATCCAGCTCTCTGCTACAGCCTGGGAAAGCAGTAGAGGATGGCCCAAGTGCTTGGGTCCCTGCACCGCATGGGAGGCCTGGAAGAAGCTCCTGGCTCCTGGCTTCAGATCAGTGCAGCTCCAGCCATTGCGGCCAGCTGGGGAGTGAACCAGAGGATGGAAGCTCTCTCTCTCTCTCTCTTGCCCCTTCTTCTCTCTCCGTGTAGCTCTGACTTTCAAATAAATAACTAAATCTTTAAAAAAATTAAGTTGGACCTAGCCCGGTTTCCCTGGCTTTTTTTTTTTTTTTTTTCCTGTAATTCAAAGTTCATTACCTCAGCACCGTGAATTTCCACTAGATGGTGGCCTTCCCTCTTCCATCAAACTTGTTTCAAAGAATATTTTGACCAGGTGAATTCACTTGCTTTTATGCTCTCCCCAACTCCAGGCAGTCACTTTATTCTCATGCCATTATTTAGACATCACTGGCAAAGGTCAACATACCAGCTCCCACACTGCCCAATCGTAGGGTTCACCTTCTAAATCATCAACCTCTATTGGACAATCTCTCTTTTTCTACCTGAACAACTCAGGAGAGTTTTCATATTTTTCCTGTGGACCTTGACTTCGGGGGATGTTCACTGAGTAGTGCATTGACCTTGCTTTGTTAAGATTTACAGGCGTTGCTGGGGCATAGTAGGCTGAGCCTCTACCTGCATCACCAGCATCCCAGTTCCAGTCCCAGCTGCTTCTCTTCAGATCTGGCTCTGTGCTGTGGCCTGGGAAAGCAGTGGAAGATGACCCAAGTGCTGGGGCCCCAGCACCCGCATGGGAGACCAGGAAGAAGCTCCAGGCTCCTGGCTTTGGATTGGCCCAGCTCTTACTGTTTCAGCCATTTGGGGAGGAAACCAGCAGATGGAAGACTTTTCTCTCTGTCTCTCCCTCTCTCTCTCTGTAACTCTATCTCTCAAATAAATAAATAAAACCTTTAAAATGTTATTTATTTATTTGAAAGCCAGAGAGAGAGAGAGAGAAAGAGATCTTGCCTCTGTTGGTTCACTCCTCAGATGGCTGCAATGGCCGTAACTGCGCAGATCCAAAGCCAGGAGCCAGGAGCTTCCTACAGGTCTCCTACACGTATGCAGGGCCCAAGGACATTGGGCCATCTCCACTGCTTTCCCAGCCCACAGCAGAGAGCTGGATCAGAAGTGGAGCAGCCAGTTCTCAAACTGGCACCCATATGGGATGTCAGTGCTTCAGGCTAGGGCGATAACCTGCTAAGCCACAGCTTATCCTATATGCCTGCCTATGACACCAACACACACCCAATCCTGTGTATTGAGCCCTGCAGTGTAGGTATGACCAGCACAAATATAGTCCCTGAAATCAGTATTCAGGTGAACTTTAGAAACACATGCCTCCCAATTATCACCTACAAGGAAAAGCCAGAACTTGGGGAACTCCTGGCAGCTCTATGACCGGGCTCCCACTCCTGTTCAGCTTGGCCTTGGAGAATCACCACTGGCCAACTGTGAGCTCCCACCAGGCTTGTACATGTCTGAGAACTGAAAAACTCTGTCCTGCCAGCCTGACACCTGTTTCAAGTGCTACAGGAAGAGTTCCCAGTGATGCTGGAAGAAAATGCTTTGACCACAATCAAGTTATCAGCATGGCAACTTTGATAAAGGTCATCAGTTTAAAAAAGAATAAAACAAAGTGTGGTAACAAATGAACTTGAGATGCTGGTGCTCTACAGAGTGGACTTGTGTTTCCTAAATGTCTTTTCTCTGGACTTTTTATTATTATTATTATTTCCCAGAAGTTTGGAATTTTTTTCACTTTTGGGATCAATGACTTATATATTCATTTCCCCCATTGTTTCTGTGATGTCAACAGTTTAACTTAAAGTCCAAACCTATGTTCAGTTCGTGGTTTACCTGTTCAAAATGTAGCATTTTCAGGGCTAGAGTTGGGTGCAGAGGGTTAGGCTGCTGCTGTCTGCAATGCCAGCATCCCACATGGACATCAATTTGATTCCTGGCTGCTCCACTTCTGATTCAGCTCCCTATTAATGTGCCTGGAAAAGCATTGCAAGAAGGCCCAAGGCTTTGGGCCTCTGCACCCACTTAGGATACTAGAAGAAGCTCCTGGCTTCAGCCTGGCTCAGCTCTGGCCATTGTGCCCATTTGGGGCATGCACTGGTAGATGAAAGATCTCGACCTCCATATCTCTCCCTTCGTCTCTGTAACTCTGCCTTCAAATAAATAAATAAATCTTTATTATTATTTGAAAGGTAGACTTACATAGAGAGAGGGAAAGACAGATCTTCCATCTGCTGGTTTACTCCTAAAAGGCTGCAACAGCCAAGCCTGGGCCAGGCAGAAGCCAGGAGCTTCATCCAGGTATCCCATGTGGGTGCAGGTGAAGTAACACCTTGACAGTAGGGATTCCATTTTGGGGAACCTGAGACTCCATTCTGGGAAGGTGCCCCCCCCCACACACACACCGTGAGGCTCTGCTCTGAAACTATGGTCTAAAACAGTTGAACAATAGCAGTCCACTACATCACACTAGGCAGAGCATAGAAACCCCCTAGCGTGATCGCTCAAGCTTGGAAGTGGATAGGCTGCACCTGGGTTAATGATAAAAATGTAATTTGTCTATGCCCTACATATGATTAAAACCAATACCTGGATTAATGTCAAGATTATAATTGAAATTGTTAAGATTGCAACTGGCATTGTCAAGATTATAATTGATACTCGTTTCGCATCGGTTTTAGGTCAGCTTGACCCCCATAACCATGTATTCTCCCCGATCCTAGCAACCATGTATTCCCATCCCAATTTTGCAGTTTTTGCCTTTATAAACCCTGTTGCTTTGGGCTTCAGGGTCGAGAGTTCTTTTGGGCATGAGCCCACTCTCCACCGCCGGCAATAAAGGACCATCAAATTTTATCAATGTGTGGTGCTCCTTTGATTACACTCACTCAGGTACAACACAGGGGCCCAAGCAACTGGATCACATTCTGCTGCTTTCCCAAGCACATTAGCAGGGAGCTGGATCAGAAGCGGAGTTCCAGCCGTTTTGGCTATCTGGGGAGAGGACCAGTGGATGGAAGACCTCTCTTTCTCTCCCTCTCTGCCTCTGCCTCTCTGCCTTTCAAATAAATAAATACATCTTTAACAATAAGTGGCACCACTGGGAAACAAATGGATGCCCATATGGGATGCTAGTATCGCAAGCAGCAGCTTAACCTAGTGAACAACACTGGCCCTAAGAAATCTTTTTTTCTTTTAATGTAGCATTTTTTTTTTCCATGACCTGACATTTTAAAGCCACAGCCCATCAGTTTGGTGAATCCGGTAAACTGTAAACTGGTGATTCATCAAACTGACTTCCAGCACACTGAGTTTTCCTAATGATTTTCTGTCAAATGCCCACTTAATGAGATTGCAGTTTCTTTATCTTTTTCTCTTTCTTTCTTTTTTTTTTTTTTTTTTGACAAGCAGAGTTAGACAGTGAGAATGGGACACAGAGAAAGATCTTCCTTCCATTGGTTCACCCTACAAAGGCCACTACAGCCAGAGCACTGCGCCGATCCAAAGCCAGGAGCCAGGCGCTTCTCCTGGCCATCCTCCACTCTCTACTCGGGCCACAGCAGAGAGCTGGACTGGAAGAGGAGCAACTGGGACAGAATCCGGCACTCCAACTGGACTAGAACCTGGAGTACCAGCACCACAGGCAGAGGATTAGCCTAGTGAGCCGTGGCGCCAGCAATGAATGTGCATTTTCCCAAACCCAACTTTAGCTACCTGCTTGACCCTTTCTCAGACATCCCAATGCTTAATCCACTAGACTGCAACAATAGTAAGAACAACAGCCAACATTACTTTTTTACTCTGTGCCGCCTCTCACCTAACCATGAAGCAGTTATGAACGAATGTCCTCTATACCCAATTCCTGCAGGAAACCTACTGAGCATCATCATCATCAGTCATCACAATGATTTGAGCTTTACACCCTTGGGCAAGAAACCGCCCTGGTCCCACCCACATCTCAATACCACCTCCTGGGGCCAGCGCTGTAGCACAGTAGGCTAAGGACCTGGCCTGGAGCGCCAGTATCCCATATGGGCGCCAGTTTCAGAACTGGCTACTCCACTTCCGATCCAGCTCTCTACTATGGCCTTGGAAGGCAGTGGAGGATGGAGCAAGTCCTTGGGTCCCTGGACCCGATGAGACTGGGGGTGGGGTGTTGGGGGAGATAATGGCTCCTGGCTTCAGATCAGCACAGCTATGGCCATTGTGGCCAATTAGGGAGTGAAACCGGCAATGGAAGCACTCTCTCTCTCTCTCTTCTCTCTCTCTCTCTCTCTCTTTCTGCCTCTCCTCTCTCTGTGTAACTCTGACTTTCAAATAAATAAATAAATAAAAATTGATCACATTTGTGAGCTGGAAGATCAGGCCTCCACCCCACCCCGAGTGACCTCATGCCCCTATCTGACCACACCTCTGTGCCCACCTGCCAATCAGGGTAATTAACCTCTTGTCTGCAAAGGCAGGGACAGCCCTGCTATGAGTGGAATATGGAATCAGAAGAGTTTTGATCTGCGGACAATTTCACAGTTTCTTCTAGCAACAAAATTTAATTTCACATTGTTTCTTCTAGCAACCAAAAACTACCCTAATTCTCCTGATGCACGATGCTTTCTTCATGTTGTTCTCCCCATCCGATGACACTGGGAGAGTGTGGGGTGTTTGCTGTGACTCAGCACATGCCCATCCTGCTCTGCAGACATCTCATCACACTCCTCTGGCGCTACTGGACAGCCCTCTACTGCTGCACTACGTGTGAATTTACATGTGGGAGAGGAGAGTTCGAGTCCTGGCTGCTCTGCTTCCAACCCAGCTTCCTGCTAATGTGCCTGGGAGGCAGCAGAGGGTCCAAGTACTTGGGTTCCTCTTCTCCACACGGGAAACTCAGATGGAGTCTTCCTGACTGTGGCTTCAGCCTGGTGCTGGCCCCATCCCAGCTGTTGTGAGCATTTGGGGAATGCACCAGAACATGGAATGGTTGTCTCTGTCTCTCTCTCTCCTGCCTCCCATCTCTGTCACTCTGCCTATGGTAACTAAGAGTACCTAAAAGGTAATCTATAGAAGTGAAATTGACACTCAGATGCAATGATGGTTTACAGCCCTTGTCTCTACAGTTTGTTGAACTCTTTACTTAGTGTAGGGATAATGAGTATAAAGTAAACTGAAAATAAATCTTTGTAAAAATTAAGATTCGATGGCTGGTGGCGCAGCTCACTAGACTAATCCTCCGCCTTGTGCGCCGGCACACTGGGTGCTAGTACGGTCAGGGCACCGGATTCTGTCCCAGTTGCCCCTCTTCCAGGCCAGCTCTCTGCTGTGGCCAGGGAGTGCAGTGGAAGATGGCCCAAGTGCTTGGGCCCTGCACCCCATGGGAGACCAGGAGAAGTACCTGGCTCCTGCCATCGGATCAGCGCGGTGTGCCACCTATGGCGGCCATTGGAGGGTGAACCAACGGTAAAAGAAGACCTTTCTCTCTTTCTCTCTGTCTACTCTGCCTGTCAAAAAAAAAAAAAAATTAAGATTGGGACTAGGAGAGGGAGGAGGAAGAAGGATGGGAGCGTGGGTGGGAAGGATCACCATGCTCCTAAATCTGTATATATGAAATACATGAAATTTGTATAGCTTACATAAAATTAAACTCGTTCCTGGAGGCCAGCCTTACCCTGATACTCAAGCCAGACAAGAACACAACAACAAAAAACTACAGACAAATATCTCTGATGAACATAGATGGAAAATTTTTAATATACTGACAAATCAAAATTGACAGCAATCAAAAACATCCGTCATGGTCAAGTGGTCATAGTTCAGGGATGCCTATAATATGTGGATGCCAGGGCCACAGGTGGTGGCCTATTCCACTGCACCCAGCGCCGGCCCCTATTTATCTTTCTTTAAAAAACATGTATCTATTGGAAAGACAGCGTTACAGAGAGCGACGCTTGGAAAGGGTGTCCCCTACAGATAATGACCAGGCCAAGACGGGGCTGGTCGGGCCACCCCCTTGCTTGGCAAGCCCGGGGCCCTCCTCCCTCCTCGCGGGTTGGGCGGAGCAGCCGCCCAGGCCCGCCCCTGCTGGCCCTACATCCACTGCACTGGGAGCAGAGCCGGCCACGCACCCCAGTAAGGAGCTGCGGCGATGGCGATGGCGATGGCGATGGCGATGGCGGCAGGCAACGCGGCCTACTTCCAGAGGGGCAGTGTGTTCTGGTTCGCGGTCATCACGCTCTCCTTTGGCTACTACACGGTAGGGGCAACCGAGTTGGGACAACCGCCTGGAGCGAGCGCTCCTGTCACCCAGGCCTCCGCCTCCTTTGGAGGAGAGGCCGCGCAGGCGCAGTTCTCGCTCTCTCGCCTCCCAGCGGGGAGGGAAGCCAGAACCCGAAAGGAGGCGCAGGCGCAGTCGGCTGCCAAGGCTTTTGGCAGGTGTTGGAGGCCCTGCGAAACCGGTTGGCCTACTTTCCTCAGGTGGGGGCGGGCACACTCCCCACCTGAGGACTGAGCGCCTGGGTCTTTCACGATGGTGCTGGCGAACTCGAAGGCCGCAAGGGATGCTACCGCCTACTTCCGGACGGCCAGCCCGTTGCCCTCGCTGGTCACGGGGCTGGGGCTGGGATACTTTGCGGTGAGGGGCGGGGCGCGGACGCGGGCGCCTGTGTTTTGGCCCTCCGGGCTGTCCTAGCGCGAGGGGCGCCGTGGGAACGGGGTCGGTGCGCATGCGCGCCTGGCGGTTGCCTAGGTTACGAACGCCAGCGGAAGCTAAGCCGGGTTTTAGAAGGTTTAGAGTGTTTGAAGCAGGGGGAGTTGCTTGGAAAACGGCGGATAAAGCCAAGGGATGGCTCGGATTTCACTGGTGAGCAAGAACCGGTGTGACAGCAGGAGGACAGCTCTACTGCGGGGAGGAGTGACTTTCGTCTCACTTCCAGGATAACGAACGGGAAAGACGCCCGGAAACCGGTTGGGGAAACCGGTATCATGTAGGAGGAAGGCGAAGCTATTTTGGATCTTTCCCGGGAGATCCTGGAACCTGGACGGGTGTCATTTCCACAGCGGCGTCGCTCTGACCACCTCCGCCCTCCTTTCGCCGTGTGCAGGATGGAGGCGTGGGACTCTAGTTTTCCCGAGTGCCCTTTCTGTGCCAGGATCCCGCGACCCTGTTCGAACACACAAGCTGGGAAACTGAAGATTCGAGTTGGAATTTAGTGGAACTGGCAGATGCCAGCCCCTCTCCACCGCGCGGTTAGGAGGCCGCAGTGATATGTTATACTTTATTGGAATATTGGGCTTTAAACAGCATCCTGGGAGAAGTAGTGTTGCCTTTGGTGCAGATCTAAGTGGAGCACTAAACTTTGGAGGGGTTGACAGTGATTCACAGAAAGGCTTGTAACAGAGCCTGAGGAGGAGTTGGTAAGGTCACCACAAAAACCTTACATGAACGAGGAGTTGCTGTTAATCCTTCGCGAGTCTGATTTTCCGAGTGTGTCTGCGTGGTGTGCAAGAGTGGAAGAGCATGATTCTAACTGCGAGATTGAGCCCAAGCCACCGCTTGCAGGACAGAAGCTGGCCAAAGCATGCAGACTCCTACAAGTCTAGGAAATAATGTTTGGGGTGGAATTCATGAAAAATCGGATCCGCTCCGCCAGTGCACGGAGCCTGATCATCACCTCGTTTCTTTGTGGCACACATCCATTGGAGCTGCTTTTTAGAAATACAGGAGGGAGATTCAGGTGCCCTCCTTCAGACCCTGTTTCCCCGGTAGTTACTTTGGTAGAATCAGTGTTCTTTCCTACCTGCCGGTCTTCAGGTGCCCTAATGGTTTCTCTGTGCCTCTGGTTCTCTTTCAGTGGGTTGTCCTCTGGCCGCAGAGCATCCCTTATGAGAGCCTTGGGCTCCTGGGCTCGTTCACTCAGTACCTGGTGGACCATCATCACACCCTCCTGCACAACGGGTAAGGAGAGCTGCAGAAACAACACGCTGGTCTCGCTGGAGACCTTGAAGGCCTGCAGTTGCCTTTAGGTAGTGAAGAATGGCGCTAGTTCACGTTTAGGAATCTTTCCAGATTTCTGTTAGATTTTATCATCAGACAATCCCCCCCTTAAACTAGACTGACTTGTAGAAATAGGTTTGGGGCCGGCATTAGCAGGTAAAGCCGCCACCTGCAGTGTTGGCATCCCTTATGGTTGCCGGTTCGAGTCCCGGCTGCTGTACTTCCAATCCAGCTCTCTTCTATGGCCTGGGAAAGCAGCAGAAGATGGCCAAGTGCTTGGGCCCCTACACCCATGTGGGGGACCTGGAAGAAGCTCCTGGCTCCTGGCTTGTGATTGGCCCAGTTTCAGCTATTGTAGGTATTTGGAGAGAGAACCAGCACATGGAAGGCTTCTACCTCGCTCTTTCTCTCTCAGCCTCTGCCTCTCTGTAACCCTGCCTTTCAAATAAATAAATAAATCCTTATAAAAATTTTCTTTTTCTTTGATACAGAGAAATTTTCCATACACTGATTTCGCTCCCCCTGATGCCCACAACAGCCAGAGTTGGACTAGGCCAAAGGCAGAGCCAGAAACTCCATTCAGGTCTCCCACGTGATGGCAAGAATCCAAGTACTTGAGCCATCACCTGCTGTCTGTCAGGGTGTGCATTGGCCAGAAGCTGAATCAGAAACAGAGTTACCGAGACTCGAATCATACACCTGAATGTAGGATGCTGGTGTGCCAAGGGCAACTTAACCTCTTTGTTGTTGTTGTTTCAGGTATTGGTTTGCCTGGATGATTCACGTGGCAGAGTCCTTGTATGCCATGGTGCTGTGCAAGTAAGTCATTATTTAGGTCCTGGTCACCTTTCTCGTGGTATCTGGTAGAAGCTGAGCCACCACATTTAAATAATTCATGCACGCCTAGGCTGAGAGCACTCTGAGGTAGTGTGGAGTACCCATGCCTGATACTGGGCCTGACGCAGGAATACTCAGTAAATGTTCGGTGAGTGAGTCCATTTAGTTTGTGTTAGTTATTATTTACTCCGTTAGTGCATTAGGCTGACTGTTATTTTGTTTGTTTTTTTTTTTTTAACTTTTTAATTGTCTGTACAGCAGCACCTAGAACAAAAGATTAGGAGTCTGCCTCCTAGTGTGTGAAAGAGCTGAGTTACTTTCCTAGGCCAGTAATCTCCTATCTTGATGCCACAGTGAACCACCTGAGGAGCTGTTTCACTGTACATGTCTGGTTTCCACCAGAAAAATTGATCTGGCAGGTCTTGCTTCAGACCTACAAGTCTGTTCTTTCTGGAAGGTCTGCAGGTAATTCTGGAGCTAAATGCAAGTTAAAAGCCCCCAAACAGACCCTACTCAGCAGATGCTACTGTAGGTGACTACTATGTGAAAGTACTGAAAAAGATTCTTTGTACTTTTGGACAATTTGTTCTCCCCTCCGGGACCGTCTGCTAGTGGGGTCCTCCGTGAAGTCCTGTTCCTTTGCTCTGCCACTGGGCAGGCTGAACCCATCTCTACGCTTTGGAGTGACACAGTCGCCCTTTGCCAGAGTGCAAGGGGATTTCCAGGTGGCTTTGTTGAAACTGTTCTCTGGGCTTGAGACTGTGGTAGGAAAGCCCAAGCGTTCTGAGACTCCTTCCCAGTGGCCTCTTGGGCCTCCCTGAGGTCTTAGCTGAGGACATGTGTTTGGCCCAGCCCCACAGCTTGACAGCTCTTGACTGGCATTTGGAGCCTCTAATGAAAACCAAAAGACTGTGTTGTGTTGTACACTTCTTTGAAGGGAGAAGGGGAACAAGCCCAGGGAGGTTGCGTCTCTCTTACTGTGTTCCTAAAACCGGTCCTTTAAGGATCTAACGTGTTAGAATGTGCCATAGCTCACTATAAATCAGAATTAATACTCCTTTGATTTGTGAGATCAATGAAAGAGTAAATAAATTTGAATGCAAGAATACATGAAGACATGGTATAACTTTGGAGCTTCCCAAATCCTACTGCCCAGGAATAACTACTTGTAATATTTTGTTGAGTTCCCTTTTGTTTTAATCCATACCTGTAAACTTTTAATCCAGTCATCATCCTGTAGGAAAGAGTACTTTGAGCTGTATGTAGATACAGAAATGACCTTGGACGTGGCAGGAAACTAACATTTACTAAGCACCCTCCATGTGCCAGTCCCTAAGCAGAAGCTCAAGGACACAATCAGGCTATAATATAGTCTCTTAAATCCCATGTTTTAAAAATACATACCTTTCTGAATTTCTTTTAACCAGAGATAAGATTGGACTATATGTTTGACTTTATATCTGCCATAATCATACACTTAAGCACTTTGCCATGTTTTTATTTTTTTTTTGTATTTCATTTTAAAGATTTATTGTATTTATATGAAAGAGTTGCACAGAGAGAGAAGCAGACACACAGAGAGAGAGGGGGGTTTTCCATCCTCTGGTTCACTCCCCAGTTGGCTGCAATGGCCAGTACTGCACTGATCCAAAAAAAAGGAACCAGGAGCTTCTTCCGTGTCTCCCATGCGGGTGCGGGCCCAAGCACTTGGGCCATCTTCTACTGCTTTCCCAGCCATAGCAGAGACCTGGATGCGAAGTAGAGCAGCGGGGACACAGCACCGGCCCCGCCATGTTTTTTTTTTTTTTTTTCCCTGCCATGTTTTTAAAATAACCTTGAAGGCAGGCACTTGGCCCTGCAGTTAAGATGCTACTTGAGGGACGACACTGTGGTGTAGCAGGTAAAGCCTCCGAGACCTGCAATGCTGGCGTCTCATATGGGTGCTGGTTGGAGTCCTGGCTCCTCCATTTCCCATCCAGCTCTCTGCTCGGGCCTGGGAAAGCAGTGGAAGATGGCCCAAGTCCTTGGGCCCCTGCAGCTGTGTGGGAGACCCGGAGGAAGTTCCTGGCTCCTGGCTTCGGATCGGTGCAGCTCCGGCCGTTGCAGCCAATTGAGGAGTGATCCATCGGATGGAAGACCTCTCTGCCTCTCCTCTCTCTGTGTAACTCTGACTTTCAAATAAATACTTTTTTTTTTTAAATGATGCTACATGGGACAGCCCCATCCTATATCAAAGTGCCAGGAATCAGATCCTGGCTCTGGTCTTAATTCCAATTTCCTGCTGATGCACACCCTCGGAGGCCTCAGATGATACCTCAAGCCCATGGGTCCCTACCACTCATGTGACAGACCCAGATACTGACCGAGTTCTCAGCTCCTGGCTTTAGCCTGCTCCAGTCCTGGCTGTTGGTGGCATTTGAGAGTGATCCAGCAGGTAGGAAATCAGTTTCTTTCTCTCTCTCCCTCTCAGCCTTTCTGCCTTTATTTCAAATAAAATAATTTTTTATAAAGTTTGGTGAATAGTTTTAAATTTTGCATACTATTCCTCTAGTTGTATATTCCAGAATTCATTTAGTTAAACTAGCAGTGAATATTTAACTTTAAAAAACATTTTTCTTTTGTTAATTATTGTTTAGTTTTATTTGAGAGCGAGAACTCCACTCCACTCACTCATGCTCCAGATATCTCCAGTAGCTGGAGCTGGGCCAGGGCCAAAGTTAGGCTCCAGGAAAGCAATCCAGGTCTGCCTTTGCAATCCAGGTCTCCCACAACCAAGGGACCCTACTGCTTGAGCAATCAGCACTGTGATGTGGGAGGCAGATTTTTTATCACTGGGCTGAATGTCTACTCCCTGGGTCTTAGGTCTTTAATCTACCTGGAACTGACTTTTTGTGAGAGGCAAGTATTCAACTTTATCTTAATATTTCTATATGGATGCCCTGTTTTCCCCAAGCCACTTCTTGAGACTTTCACTCTTCATTAATGTGCTGTGGCTTATAGCCACATATATGTCTGTGTTTCTGAACTCACTGTTCTTTTCTGTTGGTTTGCTTCTTTGTCCTTGGGCCAGCATAACATTATCTTACAGTAGTAGCTTGTAATCACTGACACCTGATGGAGCACGTCCTCTCACCTTGTTCAGAGTTACCTGTTCCTGGGCCTTTGCACAGCCTTATGCATTGTCATGTGCTTCAAAGATGAAAAATTTATCTGTTGGCATTTTTATTAGATTGACCATATGAATTAATTTGTAGCAGAATGGCATATTTCCGTTATTAAGTCTTCTAAACCAGGAAAAATGATTTGTCTCCATTTCCTTAGAGTTCTGTGATGTTTTTCCTATTCTTATTTGGTTAATATCCAGCTTCCTGTACTTTCAGATGTTGTTATAAGTGACTTTTCCTTCATTTTATCATTGTTTGATGGTAGCATATATGCATATAGTCAGTTTTATATATTGACCTTATACATAGCAACCTTAAAAATTCATTTATTAATTCTAATAGTTTATCTATAGATTATTTTCAGTTTTCTAGTCATCATTCAAGTGTCTCTAGAAACAGTTTTATTTTTCTTCTCAGTTCAGTCCCTTTGCTTTGTGTTTCTTCCCTGTTGTACTAACTCATACTTCCAGTGCGTGTTGCCTAGAAGTGGACATGATGCCTGGTTCCTGATCGCCAAGCTGTCAGTGTCCTTGCATCATGTTTATTCTAGAGTTTTATAGATCTCCTCTGTCAAATGAGGATGTTCGACTGTATATCTAAGTCTGCTAAGAACTTTGAAGAATGGATGTTGAAACTTATCAGATATTTTTGCATTTTTTTGGATTTATTAGTTTATTTGAATCAGAGTTACACAGAAAAAGAAAGAGAGGCAGAGAGAGAGAGAGAGTCTTCCATCCGCTGATTCACTCCCCAGTTGGCCACAACAGCTGGAGCTGGGCTATCCAAAGCCAGGACAGGAACTTCTTCTGGGTCTCCCACATGGGTAAAGAGGTCCAAGGAGTTGGGCCATCTTCTACTGCTTTCCCAGGCCACAGCAGAGAGCTGGATCTGAAGTGGAGCAGTCGGGACTCAAACCTGTGCCCGTATGGGAAAGCAGCTCTGCAGGCAGCGGCTTTACCTACTATGCCACAGCACTGACCCCTACTTTTTGCATTATTAAAATGTATAATCTTTCTCCTTTAATTTATTGATAGAAAAAAACCATTTGTATATATGCATATAAAGTTTGCTTTGAATAAAAGGTTTATGCAAGTGAGACTTAATTACATACACATGAGCCTGCAGCAAGCCGTTCACTTAAGCTGAATCATTTTCTGTTGAGCTTTCAGACAGTTGAATGACTGCATATTAACACTATGTTCCAGTTTCTTTCCTAAGCACTTTGTGTATATATCTCATAACCAAGTGGGACAGATACTACTATGACTGTTTTTCACATGAGAATACTGTTTCTGAGAGCTACTAGTGATGTGCCCAGGAAACAGCTGGCGGTGGCCAAGCTGGGATTCACATCTGGTACAAATCTTCACATCTTCAGGACACTTGCTCTGAAGCCATACCAGTGCCCATCTCCTTTCAGTCATCTCATGAGAAACCGTGTTATAATGCTCTACCCTGCTCTACCTGGACAGTAGCCAGACTAGTTCCAAGGAATAGTGTACCATCCTAAATACATTTATTAGGAAGCAAGGAAGAGAAAAATAAATTGCCCCTTTAAGTTAAAAACCAGGGTGGGGAGGTGGTAGACAGATGGAAGTATAGAAAAGTATAAAAATTAAAAAAGAATAAGGCCAGCGCCGCAGCACACTGGGCTAATCCTCTGCCTGCGGTGCCGGTGCCCCAGATTCTGGCCCCAGTCTGAGCGCCGGTTCTGTCCTGGTTGCTCCTCTTCCAGGCCAGCTCTCTGCTGTGGCCCGGGAGTGCAGTGGAGGATGGCCCAAGTGCTTGGGCCCTGCGCCCACATGGGAGACCGGGAGAAGCA